CCGTTTTTTGTTAGGTACCCTTCCTGCTGCCAGCGGGGGGGAATAGAGCATGCAGCACAGTGCAGGTAAGCTGGCCGGCCTGCAGGAGGGGAGCCACACTCGTGCCCAGACCCCCATGCAGCCGCAGCCAGGTGCAACCCACCTTCCTCCGGGCAGGGGAACAGAGAGCACAGCACAGGTGTGCTGGAAGCTTGTCAGACCCTCCCTGCAGCGGAACGGAGCTGACCCAATTGTAATAGGGCAGAGCTGTTTCTGACTAAAAATAAACTTGTACACCCCGCAGACATGTATACCCCACGGGGGCAGGGTCTGTTAAAAACGTGTATAACCAGCAGGCTACATACGCTAATTTACAGTAGCTCTGCACAGGAAAGGACCAAACCCACGTTTAAACAATTTTAAAAAATGTACACTCAAATCCACGCAGTCAGGTAATACATGCACAGAAACAGCTGAGGGAGAAACTGTACTTGAGTGTTCTAATGAGCTCTAGAACGTTCCCAAATCCACAAACAGGGCCAAGGTGAGAGATGCGTCAGAGGTCCCACTATGAACAGGAGTTTCTAAGCACGAGAAGAGATTTCTGATGTCAAGCCAGCTTACTTACAGCATCTTCATGCAAAACTGACCTTCTGCTAAATAGAGGATTGAGAAAACAAGCAGAATATAGACAACTTCCTGACTCAGAGCGCACCCTCTCTGGCAAGGCAACAAAAAATCATCAATGGAGCGTGGGCAACTTTTGCTGACAAACAACAGAAGTACAAATAAGTTTCCAGGGTAGTCAGTTTTATCCCTACAGTCAACAGCTGAACACCAAGAGTGAAACTGGTCTCCCTTCTTCCAGCTTCTTCCCATTAGGCTCTACTTCTCCATGTTTCGGAGCAACACAAAGTTGAGCTAGGTCTTCTCTCCCCAAAAATGCAAAACAGAAAACTAACGTTAATTATCTCTCAGGAAAATTCAAGTGGAATGAAGACATTGTAGTTTTTGCCACTACATAACCCTCGACACTATTGCCCCCACTTACATGGGGGTAAAAATGATCAGTATTTCAACTTCACTGAGATTCTTAAGTGAGATTATTAACTAATCAAGTTAGTTGTGACCTTGCTGTAAAAAAAAACACCTTTTGGGGATGAAGAATCTTAGGCTGTGTCTTCTTGCTGTAAAAAAAAAAAAAACACCTTTTGGGGATGAAGAATCTTAGGCTGTGTCTTTATGGTAGGTAACTGTTTACTTGTACAATAAAATTAACCTTTTTGAGTTAGCCTCTCTCAAGCGAGAGCAACTACACAGAACTGAGTGTACAGAACAGAGAACAGTCTCAAACAGTAACCAACCAACTGCAGTTGAGGGAACTACCACACTTGAGTTAAAAGTTTGTATGAAAGACTCAAATTAGGAGCAACAATAATTAACTCTGCAACGAAGACAAGCTCAATTCCTTGCATCGTTCACTGTGCATTCTGGAAAGCTGTGAGCTGAACAGAGATATACAGATCATTAATAGAAAGGGAACGGGAGATTGCTCTTAAAGCTACATCAGAGAGCTATTTGCGCTGGTACCAGGATTCCCTAACATTAAGTGAAAATTCTAAATTGAAGCAGACATTTAATCCAAATCAGTTGCTCTCTCACAGAGGAAATGCATCAACAAGTGGTAGGGAGATTAACATCTTGTTTGAAAAGGACAATGTCCTTTGAGCAGACTGTTTTTCTGCTTACAATTTGTTTCAATTAACCCACTACCGTATTGTCTGAACAGATTAGCATATCCGCCATTCTCTTCTTAGGAACAAACAACAAACTGTCCTCATTTTCAGAATGAATGGCTATTGTACAGTACATCTTGACTTCCTTCTGTTATTGGGCAAACGTAACTGCACTCACGGGTAAGATACAATTTACATACCTCATATCAGCAAAATATGACCACCACATATTCCAGCAATAGATGCAATGTCTAAACCAATCACTGTATAGTTGAAGAGAAACTGTTTTATATGCAATTAACTCTCACCTCTTAACTATAAAACACTAAAATTAAATGCTATGAAGAATTTAAAAAAAAATTACTTTACACTAAGTTCTTTACAAGCTTTGAACTTTCATTTTTCATATTTCATTTTGTTTTATAGCAGCACACTATAAAAAGGCAATTTATCTACTCAAAACCCCTTAGTAAATACTCTAATACACTTAAAAAGCACCGCACTATCACTTTTTTCAGCTTGTCACCTCAAACAGTTAACCCGAATTCCTGCTTAAGAGACAGGAAATCAAAACCAGGGCTTTAACAGTGAAAGTGCACAAAACAGGCACACTCTACACTTCGCAATTCACACCTTTTTCTGACACATCCAGCCTCTGCAAACTGCATACTCCTATGCAAATGCTTTCCTTTGAACTCTATTTGTTATTAGAAAACTTGTTAGGGTTTCCAGCTAGAATAAGCATTTTTACGCACTACTTTAAAACCACATGAAAATGTGCAGCACAATATATTGGCACAACATGGAAGTTGTCAGATTACACAATAAAACTCCATTATATTGCTCAGATATTCATGGCATTACACTGGCATCAAGCCAAAGCAACATGACAGTGCAATTTGATTTCAACTGTGCTTCACAATAAAACGGGAACCACTTTTTTAAAAAGCAAGCACTTTTGTTTCCCAATTTTCTTGTTTTTCCAATGTAGCATCCAACGTAAAAATGGCCATACGGGGTCAGACCAAATGTCCATCTATGACCTGACCTCCCCAGGTGAATGCTGTATCCCTTAGGCCTCGCCAGAACCCACCCTGCCCACCTTACCTTCAAGGTGTCCCTTATCCTGCCTTCCATCAGGGCCACCTGGCTGATGGCTGTCCCATCCCGTCCTGGGAGAAGCAGGACTTGAACTGACCACAATGCCATCCCCAGGTGACCTCCCTATTCCATGCCAACAGTAGCCAACACCAGATGCTCCAGAGGGAGGGATCACAACAGGTAATCCTCTCTCCCCTATCACCAACCTCCTGAGATACAGAGGCTAGGGAAACCAATTCTACCCTTCCTGACTAATAGCTATTGACGGACCTATCCTCCATGAATCTATCTAGCTCTTTTTTGAATCCTGTTGAAGTTCTAGCCTTCACCGCATCCTCTGGCAAGAAGTTCCACAGGTTGAATGTGCGTTGAGTGGAAAAAACCTTTCTTTTGTTTGTTTTAAACCTGCTGCCTATTAATTTCATTTGGTGACCCCTAGTTTTTATATTGTGGGAATAAGTAAATAACTTTTCCTTATTCACTTTTTCTACACCAGTCATAATTTTATAGACCTCTATCATATCCCTCCTTAGTCTCCTTAAGTTGTGCTGTCATCAACAACACTATCAAAACAGTTATAAAAAGTGTTATATGATCTAGCAACAAGTTTTGTAGTCTCAATGGTACTATATTGAGGGGCAAAAGGGGTGTGTTAGATTTATGATATGGAAAGCCATGTAATCTCTATCCCTGCCACATGAACCTAGGCTGACTAAGACTGAAAAATTAGCTGCTTTAAATCAAGGATGTGGCTGATCAGTTGCCAACCTGGGCAGTGCAATCATCCCAAAATGGTCCTGGGAGAGTTTACACAGTAACCTGGGCAAGGAAAATAATATTTAAAGCACTTTCTGATGATGACCAACACAAACCTTGCCAATGGTTTTATTTTTCCTGTCTAAGCATTATGTCCCATTGAACAGGTCTCTAGTAGCCCTTTCATTACATGCTGGAAGTTCTCTTAGCAAAAGAGGACGTGTTATTCTTACGCCCACAACACCAACTGATATAAACTCTACTAAAGAGCTAGTCAACATCTTCAAACATCCAAACAATGTAATTTATTGTCCCCTCATTCACTTAGATGGTGTTTTTTGCTTTGTTTAGCATCTTATATAAAATTTAAGCCTATGCAATAAGTTGCCATAGGACTGGATCCTAAAAAACAGAATACTAGACTACAAAAGTCACAGTATTCCACTAAGCTACCACTTTAGTTATATCTTTTCCCTATTGTCACCTTGACTTTTCAGTTATAATTTGCAGTTTCATCTATACAACTGCTTAATTAAAACATACGAAATAATTTAACTGGCATTGATAAAAGGACAAAATCATATATTGTTATAAAATCTATGTATGGTGTGGATATTAACACATGCAGTCAAAATATAATAGCTTATTCAAATGTACTATTAAATTGATTCAGGCATCCCTGACAAGTTAGTGCTTAAAACATACTCCCTGTAGTTCTAGAAGTTATGAAAGGAAAGTCACATCAGACTGCCTCCAAATATGGCCATGTATTACCTTATGATACTAGTACCCGAGAAGAATGCCCTGGTTTCAATGAACTCCTACTTACACTAATTTCAGCAAGCAGCAATAGTGGAGAAATATATGGCACTAACCATCTTCTACTAATGTATGCCTGAACAAGGAAACTACTTTTTAAATGATGCCAGTGTATTATTTAAAAAGATTAACCAGAAAGCTTCAGAATATAAATACAATCAATACTGTCTGATGAGCACGGAAGCTTCCTTCAGCATGGACCAGGCCACATCTTATGCCAGCAAGTTGGACCCTACTTGGTATTGCTATTTTAAACTGATGTACTGCAAGTACTGCACGAAGGGAGAGAGCTGTTGTACAACATGGATCAGAGCAATACATACATAGAGCTAAACCAATCAAACAAAATACGCAGATTTTGTGTAGCAGCAATGGAGATAAGTGCTGAAAAAGAGCAAGATGATTTAAGCCAGAACAGGTACACAGAATGGAAAAGACAGGGAAAAAGAGGAAACATTTTTTAGCGCTAAAAAGTTAAGACTGTCATGAATCAACATTGTAATTTTGTTTTTTGTTTTTTTTTTAAAAACAGACCTACCCTTACTTTAGCTTTGCAATTAAAACAACTTAACAGGTCATTGAATATTTTACCATTGTATCAATGCTTACCTTACGCCTATAAGTAGAGCTATGAGCATTGAACAGATAGGATCTGCTATCATTAGACCATAGTTCTGCATCAGTATAGCGGATATGATTACACCAACACTTCCAAGAGTGTCTGCAACAATGTGTAAAAATACACCTACAAAATAACATTAAAAAAATTAACACACAAACTCAAGATCCGCCCCCCCAAAAATGGATAGAAATATTAACATTAAATCTTTAAAGCAGACAAAAAAAATCTGTGCTAGCAAACTTGGTGCTGATGTACAAGACAATGTAAATGAACACAGGATTAGGTTCTATACCTTAAAGAATAGCTAATCATAGCATTCAGGGAAACCCTTTTTGTTTTGTGGCCATAGTATGGAATATTCTTGATTATTACCATCAGCTGAACTGATGGCTAAATGCCAGAACAGATTTAACTAGGTAACAGTCCTTCATCTAAAAGCTAGAAAGATTAATCAAATCTTTACCCCTTGTGGTCAACAGGCAATATTTCTACTAAAGGAGATCGAAAAAAATATTCTGCCAGCAGTAGCTTCGCAAAGCTTTTGCAAAACAAGAATGTCTTGCAAGTTACATAAACACTGTCCATACAAATTATCTGACAAATTTGACAGATTACTAAACATATCGTTTAAGATTAATAAATATATGGTTTTATATGGGAAGATACCACTTTAGGATAAAACAGTTAAAAGCCAACCTTTTGCAGCCAGCTAAAGATTAGTCTGTGGAGCTCTCTGCTGGCAAGTGTTGGTACAGTCACAGTTCATCAGTTGCTTTTAAAATAAGTGATTGTTCACAGCTTGAAGTATTTCACTCACAAACCTCAAAATATTTGACCAGATTAGACAAAGATTTGTATTTAAGAAAATTCTTTTCAGCAGAATTAAAATTAACTGAAGCTAGTTTTTTAAATTGTTTGCATAAGTAGACTCTAAACTATAAACACAAAAAAGTACAGCAACTTCAATATTTTTACTGGGAATTTCAAATACTTTTTCTGCCAAAATAAGGAAGGTTTTAGTGTTCATTTCAACATTCATTGTTTGCACCACAGGCAGGAAAGATGGCTTTGAAATATGTAAAATATATTCTAAATAATCGTCCAGTATCACTAAGTTTCATTTATTAAGACAAAACAGAGTAAGACAAGTTTGAATTAGATGAGTTAAACTCACATTTCATTCTAATTAATATCCTCTGCTAAGACCAACAGGCAAGAAAATTGTCTTAATTCTTTTTTTTTCCTGTTATACATTTGCTTCTGAAATTCAGTTATTCACAAACATTTTTATATTTTTTCTCTCTCCTCCCATGAACATTAAATAATAGGTATGGTAGAAAACATCAGGTAAGGTTATGTCTTCCAAGTGATAGGTCTGACACCTACAGAATAATCCCGAGGCCACAAAAGCATCCGATAAGAGACACCACAAGTATGGTATACATTGCTTTATATCAAGTATAAATAAAGCAAGAAAATATAGTTACATGTCACATACTGGCTGGAGTGTGGTTGGGTCAGACAAATAGTGATTAAATAACCAAAGTAATTTCTTATTTTTCTTGTTTAACCTCCCCATATGCAACCAAAAATTCCCTTTGGAACTCATGCATTGTTCTGTTTCATTAAAAGCCAGACAAAACCAAGCACAATTGCAGATATCAGACAGCCTTCATGCATACCCTCCACAGAGTTCTGGTAGACCTTGGAGGAGAATAAAAATATCATTTTCTTAGGGTGATGGAATGTAAGTAGAAAATTAGATAAATGGGGCTGCAGAGAGAGGTTCACAGACACTGAAGCTGTACAACCACTCAGTTTCCTTCTACTCTCCCAGAACAAAGTGTAGCAACTCTCAATAGGTAACCTTAGCAGTCTTCCCCAAATCCCTTCAATTACTAGGAATCACCCAAGGCCTTCATTCTGAGAGAAGAGGTAAAGAGATAACTGTTTCCTCTGTAGCAGCAGATAAAGCCACAGCATGGACAGCTCAGATATCCCCACAACTGCTACGGCATAAATCACAAAAAGCCGGAAAAAGTTAAAATAGAAAGGCAGCAGTATCGTCAGCCGCCATCTATCCTATCCAGTGGCTCCTAATCCCCCCACCCCTCTTGTGTTTATTTGGAGATGGAAGAACACTACACATATCCAACACTAATACTGCAAGATATCGACTGGGGTCGAGAGATGTTCTCTACCACCTGCAATCCCTATTCCCAATATTACACTATAGAAAAAGAGTTGATCCACGTATCCAGAATGAGCTATTTAGAGTTTAGCTTTACCTAGACAAGATGGTTATTCACTCACTATATTCTCACTTTCCTGAAAAGTGAAAGTAAGTTCTGCAACCCTCAATTCTTTAAAATATGAATTATTGGTCAAAGCTTTTCAAGTGTGTTCCAGTATGACATTTCATTACTTTCCAGAGCATGTATTGCCATAGGCATCTGAAATGCAAAAGTTAGGTCACTTGTATAAACTTTTCACATTGAATTTTCCAAGAAAATAAATCCAACACTTAACATTATTTTCTGCCTGTTATTAATATCTTAAAGAATACCACTGAATTTAAAGCCAGCATCTAAATGAATCTATTCTTTAAACTGATTATTTTTGTCATACCTTCTAAAATCTGTCTGCTGGATCCTGCAGCCCCTTCAAGAGAGTGATCATCTGTAGAGATAATTATTGGCAAGTTAAGCCACATATAATGCATTCTTCTAACCTTATCAATTCTCTTGAGCATCAGAAAGTAAAACCAAATTAAGTGGCCCATATGATTATTTTTGACAAGCAGTCATAAATTTGGCTACAAAGTTTCATTCTGATATAGCAGATGCTAAGGTAAAGAGCAAGTTGAAATGAAGATTTTGGGTGGGAGTGTGTATGCAGACACACAGGTACCCACAAACACCCTGTTTATTTAAACCCTTTCTTTTTTCCCCTAGCACAAGACACTTGCGCCTGAGAGCACATTATTTATGCTGGGAGGCAAGGAATAAATTTGGATAACAGTGATGTTTGGATAATAGTGTAGACCAGTGTTCCCTGTAAGCTATGCATTTGTGGGGCCACTCAAGAGAGTTTCAAAGCCACTCAGCTGATTAGCAGAATGCCCACAGCTAGGTTTTTTTGTTTCTACTGGTGGTGCACATTCATACATGCCTTGGTGCACATAAAAAAATATTATGCACATGGATGGGGAAAAAAAATCCACAGATGGATAGAAAAAAGAGATAGGAGGGAACACTGGTACAGATGCTGAGCCACGAGAAGGAGCCACTGCTGCCCCCGGAATATACCATTTGAATTTTCAAATGCATAAAATGTATAATAAAATGCCAGATCTTCAAGACACAAAGTGTGAGGGATGGCAGAGGAGGCTGCAGTCCTGGTGGGGCAGAACAGAAACTACATTTTGAACCCTGTCCTAGACACTTGAATACTTGGGTGGGAATAACTGTTACGTCCAAAAAGATATATTTATTTTGCTATGCATAATGCATACAACAAATGTAATTTATTCAAGTAATATCAACTACATGGCATAAGTCAGGCTAGTTTTGGAAAGGGCTTTTTGAAAAGCTGGTACCTTCAAGTTTTCTTCTACACCAAAATGTTTACAGTGAAAGTTGCATGTTTACTGCAACTCAAATCGTAAGTATTAGATCAGTTCTTACTGCAAAGCTGAATTTACTACAAAGCTCACAATAAAACATTCCTTATATGCCTCAAAAAGAAGCAGCATTAATTCATGTATGCTACAAGATGCATTAAATTGAGAAGAATATGCCACTAGCATTCTCCTTTTAGAAACATTTATTCCATATGCGCTGGCTAAAACAAGCTGCCAGCACCTTCTCATCTATCCAGACAGACCCGTGCCAGTAAAATGTAATGGTGCATTCCAACCCTCGCGTATGGCTTTTGTTTTCAGATCAACACTTACCGTGACAATAATCCTGATCATGTGAGTGTCCCTTCCCATGACTGTGACCATGAGTGTGCCCATGGCCATGTTTTGATTCATGGCTGTGACCGTGGCCTCCATGACTGTGTTCATGGCTGAGAACACCATTAAATAGAGAATGACTGTGTTCATGCCCTATAAATAAATACAAATGTCAAAATATTATATATTTGAACATTAAAGAAAAGTATGTTCACATTCACTTCTGAAGTTCTTAATATCTAACTACTCCTCAAGGAAAAATAAACTCTCCTTTTCTACAGAGGTTAGGTAGAGCAAAAACTAATACATTATGGATGTGAATAGGTGACTTAAGCATTACCTTTAATACATTACCTTTAAAGGGTGATGCCTGCCGGGTAATGGTTAACCATTACCTAGGAGCAGCCTGCTGAGTGTGAAGGACTGCTGGCTCCTAGCCTGAATAGGCTGGGAATTAACAGCCTCACACAGAGCTGGAAGCAACTGCAGGGGAGTTTGCTGGCTCCCAGCCAAATGGCAGTCACACAGGAGGCCGGAAGCAGCATCCAGGGGGAGAGAACAGGAGCTGCTGCTTTCAGCCCCACAAAAAATTGTGACTCGTAGCCCATGCGGACTGGCAGCCAGCAGTCCACCCACGGTCAGAAGCATCCAGGTTGGAGCAGCACCCGCCCAAGGCACAGTACTAGAGCGGCCCCCTCCACTTACCCCCATTAAGGGGTTAATCAGTTAAATATGGCATTTAGCTGGTTAAATGGGATTCTAACACCCTATAATACATATAATTCAAAACCTAAATTAATCCAAGTTATGTTGCTGCACAAAATATTTACTTAACTTGAACAAGAAAGTCAAAATACTTTATAAGCTAGGGATGTTAAAATGCACGTAATTTACTAACCATGTAACTGCTTAAACTGTATCAGAGGCAGCAGCTCAGAGTGGCAGGCACTTCCTTGGAGCAAGACCGGGAGCCACATGTAACCATTTGGGTACCAGATAAATTCATGCTTATCAGTTACCAGTTCAAACAGCTACATTCTTATATCCCTATTATGTGTTATTTTCTTAAGGCAAGCCATTTTATACTACCAATGAAATACAGTATTCTGTACGCGTTTTTGTGCACTTCCAGCTAAGTTTGATGAAAGCGGCCATACTATTCTGCTGCGTTTATACTAAGTTTTTTTTAAATCACATTAAAAAGACTGCATAAAATACTTGTTACTTTCATCTGTCAGGATCGTTGTCATTCACAGACTATCAACAAAAAGTTAAAGCAATACCAAACATAGAAATATTGCATATAAATATTGCATGTAATTTGAAAAACAATGCTAAACAATTGCAAGGACAACTGAAAGATTTTCTTCTTAGATTTAAAATTTTTCATCAGCTATTCCCCTGTACAATGCTCTAAGGACATTTCAGTCTATTTAAAGAGAAAAATCTCTTGTATAAATACAAATTCTTGCAATCTCTTCCAATAAACTCAAAGTTCCAGACAGCAGATTCATATTTTCGCGGTTTCCATTTACTAGGAGTTCAATAAGAGGAAAAATGGGAACTTCCTTAATTATGCAGAAAAAAACCAAAGCTGTACATTAGGGATGTCAACATGTAGACAACTACAAGATAAACCAATAAGCCTAGGTTTATCCATTAATCCAGTCCACTACACACATTCCCCCACCTGCTGCCTCTGTATGAGAGGCAGAAAGGGGGGTAAAGGGGGAGAAGAGACGGAGCCAGTGCCAACGGAGAGCCAGCTTTTAAGCCAGTTCCTCATGAGCACCAGATCCACCTGTCCCACCCCCTGCACTGCTGCCTCTGATAGAAAGGCAGCAGTATGGGGAGGTGAAGGGGGAGGCAAGAGCCACAGACCATCTCCAGCAGACCAGGGGCACCGCGAGCAAAGCGGGTCCAGCACCAGAGCAAAGCCTCAGAGGCGAGGCACCCCCCCCCCCCCCCCCCCCCCCCCCCCACACACACACAGTGCCTTTATCAGAGGCAGCAGCATGGGTAAGGGTGGGCAGAAGAGACTGTCACGGAGCAACCTCTGTCCACGGTGGGCCTGGGCTCACTACAGAGGCTGCTCTGCAACAGCAGTCCCGGTCCATAGGAGAGGAGGGGGTGAGCTCCTTGTGGAAAGAGGCTGCTCCATGCCAGAGCAGGCTCTGTCTGTGGGGAGCTCAGATCTGCCCATGGACAGGGGCTCCTACAGCAGAGCAGCCTCTGTGCTTGGGGAGCTAGGGCACTCCATGGACAGGGGCAGTAAGCAGAAGCTGGTCTGCACAGGGAGCTGGTTTTTAAATTGGCTCCCCCTCACAGACCAGCTCCCACCTGCCATCCCACCCTGCTACCTCTGATAAAGAGGCAGCACCACAGGGTGGCAGGGGGCTTCCCGGGAATGGAAGCCCCCTACCCCCCAGGGACTACCAAGTAGTCATGTAACCACTAACATTTTATGCGGTTACACAACTATGTAATTATGTGCTACCACCCCTACTGCACATGACTCATGCTTGCCACTGAAAGACACAAAACATGCACCAAACAGGCCCTGAACACAAACCGCCAAAAAAGAATAGAATAATGGGAATTACATCTGCCATACCAGAGCCATGCGAGTGTCCATGGCCTCCATGTTGAAAAACAAATATTCCTATAAGATTCACAATGAATCCTAGGATAGACACAGGAAGAAGTCTCTCATGATGAACATCAGGAGGCTCCAATGCTCTCTACAAAAAGAAGCAAGTTTAATGTATTAGCTATAATCCTACCACACAATTAGAAGCAATATTAGAGAACAGAGACAGTATTACATATCTGATTTGAAGCAGGCATTTTCTGATTCAATATCTAAAAATCAAGAGATTAATGACAGCTAATTAGGAATTCTGGTATTCTAGAACAATTAGGAAAGTTTTAAAAACCATAGTACCAAACAAGGAGGAATATAGGTAGCAAGTCACTAAATTTTCCTAGGGTCTTTTCATGTGTTATTAGAGCTACCTTTCACGGTCATCTCCTTCCTCATATTATGTTATGGCATTATTCAGCTCAAAGTAATATCAAGTCATATTAGTTCCCAGCTGTACTGGGACTAGGTACAATTATTTCTCAGTCTAAAGACCTTTCTGGAGAGAAAAGTGTCGATGTAAGAAATGGAGCACAGGGTCTCTTCTTGGGAGTTTTAATTACCCCTAAAAATCTTATATTAAAAACTAGCTGGACTTACCCCGGCGTTGCTTGGGAAACCAGAGAAACAAAATGTAGAAAATTCAGGAAAGGTGGGGACCCTGAGCCAGGGGACCCGCCGAGCCACAGACCCTGCGGGCTGATGGCTCCTGGCCCACACGTGACTGAGAGCAACAGGACCCTCCTTCCCTCCAGGACCAAGCAGCCAGCCCCCAGGAGAACAGTACACAGTCATGTGGCCAGTAGCAAGGGGACTTCTCTTTGCAAGCTTGGCTCAGGGATCCACCTGCCTTCCTTGACAAGCAAAAGCTCAGAGCTCACATCTAACCCCAATGGCTGAAACTAGATACAGAAGAGCCCCACTCACAGCACAAACAGCAGCCGACTGGCTTCACAGCACTGTGACGCATTGAGGGTTTAACCCGGCCCCGCCGCCCTGCGCTGCAGCAGGCACACGGATTTCTTCTGCTCGGATAAACCCAGCGAGCTGAGCAGAAAGGCTGGCCTGCTTTGGTTTTGGTTTCCGGAGGGGGAGGGTGGCAGGTGGGGAGCGACCCCGGGTGGAGGGGAGGTCACACGCGGGAGGGGCACTCCAACTTGCGCCCGGGGCTGCAGGTGCCACGGGGGGCAGGGCAGGTGCCCGAGCCGTTGTGCGCATGGGGGTGGGGGCACTGCGTGCCGGCAGCAGATGAGGGGGGAGAGGGTCAGTTATGTAACCTCACGGGCAGGAGGGGGCGAGTCCCAGGAGGCTGCATGAGGGAGGGGCGCCACAGCTCATGCCCAGGGCCGCAGGGGGCAGGGCAGGACCCTGATCGGGTCCAAAAGTACCTTAAAGCCTTCTCCTGGAGGAAAGGTTATCCCATGCAAAGTTTGGTTGCGATAGCTCTTAAAGTTTCCAAATTATTAGCGCACAAACATACAAACGTTTTCCTTTATATATTAGATTGAAACAAATTCATCACTAAAAGGGACATCACTAAAAGACTCGGAATTATTTTTGCAGTTAGTGATGTTTCCTCTGACACCAGTTAATCCTATAAGTATATCTAACAAATGTGGAACAGGGCTAAAAAAGGAAGAAGTGCCTGCACATCTACCACGTGAATGGGTAGGGAAAAACCAATGCTCTGAAATTAGACTGTCTATTACCAAAAGGCAAATATAAGATGAGAGCATGAAACAGGGGGAGCACTCTAATGAAAAACCCAGTCCTACATTCACAACAGAAAAGGCAAGCTGTCATTTTACCAGGTTACTACTTTTAACCCCTGTGTTGGTCCCTCCATACTTCATATCAGGCTTTGAGATAGTATTTTTCCCAGCTAGTTTTTGTAGTCTTGGAACAAAAGTTTCCAAAGTTTTAAAGTGACTTATGAACCTATGTCTCACTAACTTTCAACTAAGGAACTAAGTCACTTGTGAAAATAAGATTTCCTGCTTTTGAAAGTTTTACCCTTTTATTATCACCAAATAAATAAGCTACTGTGAACAGACCAGAAATCTAAGAAAACACATCTGAAAGTTTTCAGATTGTTACTAAAACCTCTTGTAGGCAAAAATCCTCAGAATAGTAAAAAAAACCATTTTTTCTATTATTTCCTGCTGCCATTTTTCTTCACGATACTGATCTACACTATCGTTGCTATTTGACAATCGTATCCCTTTCTTTCCCTTTGACAAGCTACTAATTCTAACTTCTTACTTAGAATGCTCAGGCCATACAAAATGCTCAAATGGCTTTTGTTTTTCCAGACTCATTTTTTCTAACAAGGAAAATTCCACAGAGTACTATACTGGCTACAGAAGAAAAGTTAATCTGACAGAATTTAGTATCGTTCATGTGATCAAAATATGTTATTCTGAAAGCCAATACAGATACTCTGAAAAATGAAGATATATATATACATATATACACACACACACATCCAACATCAATGCCATCTGATCTTCTTTAGTCTGTTCAGCTGATTCAAATTTAATTGGTTAGGAACATGATTACACACAATCCATTAAAAACATTTAAGTTATGCTAGCCTCTTAAATATGCTCTCCAATAGCTTCTGCAAAGTTGAACATTTTTCAGGGGATACTTATTTATGGAAATTGACCTTTAAAACATACCTCGACACCTTCAGAGAAAATGAAGAATGCTGTGAAGATCAGAAACAGACCATTTACAAAACCAGCCAATACCTCTGCTCGAACATACCTAAGAAGAATCAAATCAGCAATACCATGTTACCTCTCCCTTTTATAAGCTTAACATATAGATGTACTCAGAGTTTCAAATTTCAATACAGCTGAGGCAGAATGGTGCCATACAATGGAGTATAGTTTATTCCCTCGTTCCTTTGTAGTTATGTACAAAGGAATTTTTTAGATGGAAAAACTGTTATATGAATTAAATGGGGGAGTTATGAATGTCAACCACCTGATTTTTCTTGGCTTTGATATCAAACAACTATTATCCACATTGTAACAAGTTCTTTTCAGATGATGTCAAAGTATATTACATAGGGATGAGAAAATCCTTGTATTACAGACAAGGAAAATAGCACAATATTTAGGGACCCCTGGACAAGGTCTTTCAGAAAGCCACCAGCAGAGAGAATAGGACTAATGTCTCTTGACTTCAGATCACTGATATAAACACTGTAACAACCTGCTTCTCTTTCACCATTTGTTTACTGTTTTTCAAATATCACACTGAGATGAAAGAAATGGTTATCACCTTGTGGTAACTGTTTGAGATGTTCTATAAGCATGGATCCCATGGTTGGTGCAGCAGCACCCCTTGCACGGGTATTCTGAACTTCAAATAACCGTGTCCAGTAGAGGTCACGCATACATCTTTCATGCCCATACCTCCCCTCTCCCTACCTGTTCACCCTCAGTTCCTTCACTGCCCAGAGTCTCAAGATGAGTCTCCAAGCAGCGAAGATGGAGCTTGAGTCAAGGGAGCCACGCACAGAACCTCTTGAACAACAGTTACCATAAAGTAACAGTTTCTTCTTTATGTTCCCACGTGCATGGCTCCCATTTATGGCGACCAACTAATTCAGTGATATAGGCAGTGGGAACTAGGAGCTGATCTTCCAAGCTGAGCACATTCTGAGTTCAACCTGCATTCCAGATGTCTATACCAAGAAGAGTAGTGGTTGGTCTGAAAGCAGAGCATCACATAACTGCTTGTGACACATGGCCAGAAAGGGTTAAACATCCTGGATAAATGACCCAAATTTAATCTTTAGAGACATACTGGTTTGGCATGCACACACATAATGTTACAGGTTAACAAAATGTAATGGTTCCTGTCTAGCCTGTATTCATCTCTCTTTGAAGTGTACAGGCAGTCCCCAACTTACACGGATCCAACTTACGTCGGATCCGCACTTACGAACGGGGCTTTCTTGCCCCGGAGCTCGCAGGCAGCGGTCCCGCCACCTCAACCTCCGGGGCGAGAAAAGCTGCTCCCAGTGCCCCTGGTCTGCTGGGGACAGTCTCCAGCAGACCAGGGACACCGGGAGCAAAGCCGCAGCGGTGGCGGAGTCCTGCGCCTCCCCGGCTTTGCCAGAGCAAAGCCTCAGAGGCACGGAACCCCTCCGCCTCCCCGGCTTTGCTCCCGGTGTCCCCTGG